TTTGTGTCCTTTGGCACTTTGTGGGAGTTGCTGTTAATGAGGCTGTTACTCATCATAGAGCTTTGAGCCATGGTATTCCCTTTAAGGATGTTTATAAACAACTCTGAAGAGGGTTTTAATTCATTGCACTGCTCTCTGCTGCAATAAACTTGATAATAAATGAAGCTTAATGTAATCAAATGTAAATCACTGTAAAAGAGAGCTCCTTAAAGACACCTGAGGTTCTGCTGCTAAGATAAATGTAGATAAAAGGTTTCATTTAATATTACAGTTTTCAGCTCTGGTAGAGAGTTGAAACCTTCAAGAGTGGCTGTGTTGACTTTCTGTGAGCAGCCAGAACTACGTACTTGTGTATACTGTGGGGAGTTGCCTTACTCAGTTTTTGAAGGGGAGAAGATAAAAGAGGAAAAACAAAATATTTGTTTCCCCTGACAAGAGTCAGGGTCCCATTGCTTACCAGGTGGATATTTCTGACTTGCCAGGGCAGAGTGGAGTTTGGCTGCACCAATTATCAGCCTGCTGGTTTGGTCCTTCAATCTGCTGTTGGTGTTGGTCAGGTCTGGAGCCATGGCTTCAGTAACCCTGGCTAGACAGTGAAAGGTGCAGAGCATCTTCTGTCACTGGCTGTCTCCAGCTCGATGCAGCTCCTTAGAGCCCCAGGAAATGCCCCTGAGTGTTTGCCTGCTCTGTGTGCACAGCTAATCCATGGAGGAGCTCCACCAGGCATCATTTCTGTGCACCTGAGTTCCCTGCCCATGGGACTGAGTCCTCAGGTTTTTTATTTTCCTGGGGAGCCAGTTTGTGCCTATACACAGAATTTTCTCTGTGCTAGTGCCTCTTACACTGAGTGCCTTTCTGTGGGAATGCTGAAACTTGGTAACTGCAAACCTTTGCCTGTCCCTGCTGCAGAGTGCTGAATGAGAAAGATGTGTCACCTTCTAACCACAGGGCAGCTGGGGCTGGGGAGCCCTGGCCATGGCAGGCACAGAACTGTGCTGAAATACCTCACCCACAGCCCTGCTGGCCTGAACAGTCTGAGCTCCTGGGTTTGCACATAGCTATTGACTCTACAAAACAAAATCAGGTGTGTGGCAGGTGCCAGAGTGCCATCAGAGCCCCCTTACATTAGCCAGGACAGCACTTGGCATCATTATTTTTCTCCAGCCAAAGGCACATCAGTTTCAGATTAGGAAAATGAGGTTTGGGAATCTCATTCCACGTAGGAAGTACCAAATTAGTAACCTCAGAGTAGCTGGAGTGTGCAGTGCTGGTGGGGATCTTGGTCTCACCATTGCTCCAGGCTGCTCTTAGCAGCAGGTGGTGGATCCTCACCTGTGCAGTGAATGTCTGCAGGTGCTCAGTGCCTCCCTCCAGAGCCTCATGGCAGGAGGAGACAGAGGATGGGTGTGACTCAGAGACTTCACTTCGAGTGCACAAGTCAGGGTTCCTTCCCTTTTCTGAGCATGTCTGGGAGGAGTAACAAACACACTTGGCAGAGTGTAGCTGAACCAGCTTCCAGTGGGAGTTGTACCTGCCATCAGTGTAAATTTTGGTGGCCTGATCCTGCACAGAGGCTCTGTGGGAGCCCCTGCCAGCAGCAGTTTGAGGACTCTGGGTGCAGCATCTCCAGGGTCTGAGGCTGTGCAGTGTCAGGGGGTCCTGAGCAGGTGCCAGTGTGACATCAGGAGCAAGCAGAGGGGGAGGGTAGCTGAGATAAGGAAGCCCTGCAGTGTCTTTAGAGGGGGAGGTGGCTGGAATGGCCCTGCAGGCTGAGGTCAGGCCCTGCAGGGATTTCTGCCAGTGCCCAGCAGGGAATGCTCAGCTTTAGTCTGGAGCAGGGGGGTGGTGATGCCCCACAGGGCCAAAGGCCAGTTCTCCATAGCATTCAGCACTCCTGGGTGGTCTCTGGAGCCCGGGGTTTGGAGCTTCTCTAGGATCCAGGCTCCCTGTGGGCTCCCTCCTGCTGGGGGGAGAGAGGGGAGGGTCCCCCCCAGCCCAGGCTTGGACCTGGGAGCAGGGCTCTGCCATTGGAAAGGGTGGTGGATAATAATTGTACAGAGCTAAAAAACCCATGGCCAGACAACTGAATCCCACCCAAAGGTGTTTGTGTTTTGTTTCTAAGGACCTCCAGTTTGTGTTTCTTTGTGGCTTTCGAAATACCCGAGTCTGTAGTTGGTGCATTTGCTTTGTGCAGGGCTCTGTCCTGGGTGATCCTGGTGCAGGAGCTGCTCCCAGGGAGCCTGGGCTGCCTCTCCAGGGCACATGGCAGGGGCTTTGCAGGGAAACGGAGTTTATCTGCTCTGTGAGGGTACAAACAACAGTGCTGCACCATTAATCATTAATATTGTTATTTTCCTACTGAGTCCTAGTCTGTGTCTTTTGGAACTGCCCAGCAGAGAGTAACCCAGGGTACAACTCCATGACTCCTCAAGGATTTACAGTTGGCTTGGCGCACCATTGTAACCCAGACATGGCCAGTTGTTTTAGCCTGAAATTCAGAGTTTTGCACTGGGGTTTTATTCTCCAGTCACTTTGTAGATAAGTGTATTATGCAAAGAAATGCAGCTGCTTTTCAGTTTGGCTGTTCTGGTTCAGTATTTAACATAGATTACTAAGCTTGAGGTACTTCCCTGGGTCTTTTTTTCTCACTTTTTCCAGTTTGATTCTGGATGCTGGTTTCATTAGATTGTTGTGCTCCTATAGCCCCTCCTAAATGGATGTTGTCTGCCCCTTTGTTGTTAGGCATTTTAAAATATTACATATTTTCCATAATCAGAAACACTAATTAAAAATGTACTGAATTCAAGCCAGATCCAAATAAAATACATAGCCTTTAAGAAGAGATTATGAGAAAATGTTTAAATATGTGCTTCTTTAAATACTTTTGCAAGGTCATTATTGTGTCTAATGTACCAGAATAGGCTGGAAGGTGTCTGGGGAATGGCAAACAAATGCTTGTACTTTGCTTTTTTTTCAGGGCATCTATTCAATATAAATACTAAGGGCTAAGATGCTTTCATAGGGTAGTTGTGTAAATTATCAGGAAAAATAAGTGATCTCCTCTTTTGAGATGGTACAAATTACAGCTGGACCTGGACATGCTCTGCCATGCTTCCAGATTTCACGCAAGGTGCTGACTGCTTTGGAATAACAAAAAACTGTGACAGCAAACGTTTCCTCATGCCCACCACTGGGCTCATCACCATGTTAAATACTCTTGGAAGACAGCACCGTGCTCTGGGGAGAGGGCAGGGTGTGAAATGGAGGACTGAGAGAGAGTTTGGGGTTCCTCTTCTGTTCAAAGACACAAGAAACAACAAAATGCAAAACTTCTTCATCTAAGTGCAGAAAAAGGTGCAGCTGTTCTATTCAAGAGGAAAAATGTTTACAAGTCATCCAGAGTAGTAAGTAATTGATAGAAAAACATCTTGTGTGTTGAGTCTGTTTTTAATACTTGGTGCCTCAAGTATGTGAGTTTTATCACCTCTGGGTTTTTTTCTTCCAATACAAATCAATTTGTGTGAGAGGTGGTGGTTCAGTACAGTGGAACCCTCCACACAGTGAGGTGTCCCGCAGTGGGGAGCTGATTAAACTGGGCCCTGAGGGCCACTGGAAGGGCTCTGGGGTGTGCTCAGCACAGCTGCAGCCCCCAGGGAGCCACGGGACAAACCCAGAACAATCCAGGGCAGGTGGAAAAAAGCCATTCCAAATGTGATGCCTTCATTAGCCAGGGTATACCTTGACTTGATAGGGCATCTTTGGTAAATTTTAAGGTATAGTTAGAAATTAATAGAAACCAGAAATCAAATGACAATTTTAATAGACTTTAGAACAGAGTGTACGAGTATAAAACACTGGTTTTGTATTTCAAAAGTTGCAGGAAGATAGCCAGTCATTTTAAACAGTCTTCTACAAAACATATGCCAGTAGATTACATAAAAGACACTATATACAATATAAAAGAGCAGAAACCAATCCTCACTGTAAAAATAATTTAAAACAAAGTATTTCAATTTAAAATATCTCCTATAGCACAAACTAATACATTGTGACATGCAAGTGAAAACTAAACATATTGCATTCTTTATGTAGCCAAATAAGAGCCGTGTTAAATTTGGACAATGAGACGACATGCCAACATTTCCCCGTGAATACAGGAGGCTGTTCTTAAATACTTATTAACTGTTGGTTTATGTTCAAAGAACAGCTACTATACATCTTCCAAAATGTAATAAATATTAAAGCAAAGTATATGAATAATCTACATCATTGAGTTCATCATTTGGGCCAATGTTGAAAAAGTGGTTTATAGAAAAATGCTGTTTCACTGACTACTGCACTGTGCAATTGTACAAAATAGTTCTGAAGGCTTGGAAACAATCTGCACTTGAGCATCTGCAACATCCAGTTTTAAGGCAGCCTCGCACTTGAGAGAGCAGGGTGGGAGCGGCCGCTTTGCTGTGGTGTCGGGGTGGAGCTGGCAGCTGGAGCTCAGGCCAGCAGGGGTTAATCCACGTGGAGCTCCTTGGCTGCACAAACAGAGGCTCCCACCACTGGAGTCAGTCTCTCCTGGGCTTGGTGCATCCGTGGGCACAGAGGAACAGCTTCATTTCTGCGCCTTCTCACGCTGGGAGGAACACTCTTCCCAACTCTGTTCCGCACTGGAGCCTTGGCAATTCCTCAAATGCTGTTTATAAAGCAAGCTGCTCTAGATGTGACCCCTGGATCCAGCGTGGCAGCCTCTGACCGGGGGATCCTTTCTGTTTAAATGCTAGATTCTCACTGCTAGGGAGCCAATGTCAACAATGCTTCCTGTCCACAGGGAAGTCAAACACTCAGCAACCTCAGCATTTTCACAGCACTTCTTGATCAAGCTAAAAACCATTGGATTCCTCAAGTGCTGCTGTCTTGTTTCCATCTCGCTATCTGCTTGCAATTAGGTTTGTCTCAAACATACAAAGGAACTGTTAAAGCAAAAAAAAATTAGCTGCCACAGTAGGTCTTAGAAAATGCCAGTGTTTAATGACAGACTAGGCGTGAATGAAAGGTTTAGCAGAAGCGTGAGAAGATTTTAAATAAACCAAAGTGTTACAAAGCAAGAGGTGTGAAAGTACCATTCTTTGGTCTAAATTAGCTGTTCCCTTTATATTAGTTTAACATTCCAATGGCTTTTTCAAAACTGTTTAAAAATAATATAAGCTGAAATTTATTAAGCAAAAATATGTATTATATACATGGATGCCTGATCAGACAGATGAAATTAAAAGTGAACATAGTGACAGTTGTTTAGATAACCCTAGTACCTTAAAAAAAAGATGAGTTAGTGTTGAGTGCGCAGTAATAGATTTTTATTGAAAAAGGTAAAAAACTAAGCATGAAAATCTGTTTTAGTTATTTATAAACACTACATCCTTATGGTTTTGTTGCTCTAAATTCAGACGTAAACATTCATTCTGACATGCCAAAGCTCCTATTGCTGGTGGGAAGTTCCTGTAACCATCGGCGATCGCTTCACGGCGCGTTGCGCGGCCGTTCCCTCCCTGCGGCCTCGCTGGTCTCCGCCGATTCCTCGGCTGCCAACTCCTCCTGCTCGGCTGCATCCTCCCCGAAGCCAGGCTCCTCTTCGCGCTCGGGAGCGTCCTCATCCTCGATGCCGTTGTAGAACTCCTCCATCTCACTCTCGTCCTCCACGTCCAGGCTGTGGCTGCGGCAGGAGCCGCTGTCGCTGCTGCTGCCGCAGGAGCTGGAGGAGATGATGTCGTCCTCGGAGTCCGAGTACACCTCGGCGCCGTGGAAGATGTAGCGGTTGGGCGGCAGGAACAGATACTGGGAGCCTGCAACACAGTGGCAACAGTCAGGGATACACAAGCTTGTGTTAGAAGGTGCCTGCAGAGCTCTGTTTCCAACAGTGGCTCTTAGCTGACAAATCAGATGGCATGAAAATGCATTTATGCCATGCATGTGTATTTATTACGAAGGACAGAAGAAATACGTCACTGGAAATTCAGTGCTCATCCTCCCCTCCCTCTGACACCAAAGAGAATTTACACTGATTGTTCAGCAGCTGTTTTATGGGAACATGTTCCCAGCTAGACTTCCTCCACCTATGACAGAACAGGAGCCCCTGCATGGAGTATCAAAGTCTAAACCCAGCCTTTCCTCTAGAAAACTGCACTTTAATTCCTGACTCCTTACATCAGTTACAAGACTGCACACTGGAGGGCTTCCTTGGAAAGTCTAAACATTCCTTAAAAATGTACCTCACTCCAGCTGTGAGATTTTTAAGTCTTGTCATTGCTTTGTCTTCCAGCTGTACTGCAATACCAACTCATGCTCTACTGTGACCAGCTTCTGAACACCTCAGGATCAAACTAACTTTTCTGAAAATGCATTTGAAAATGTTACGAAGGGATTTATTTTTTGATACCTACCTTCAGCCTCCTAAACTTTGGGGATGTTATCACTGATTTTTAAACCTATTATGAAATACAAAAAAATATTTCCTACTGGCTTCTCCAAAAGAAAGAAATGGTTCAATGAGAGTTACGTAGACACTTGTCTGAACAAAAATAGCCACCAAAACCCACCGATTGACTCAAGAGTAACTTATTTATCACTTTAAAGTAAGTCTAGCATAAATGTATCAGCCAAAAGGAAGCAAAATACTGAAAAGCATTAACACTTACCATCCAGCCTTTTGCTAATCTGTTCTTTTGCAGATCTGTTTACCCAACACTTCTTCAATATTTCACTCTTTTCTTTATTTTCTCCATCATTAGATCCATTTTCCTTCATTGTTTCAGAGTTCATTAGCTCACTAGCAGGATTTTCAGGGTTTTCTGCTGACACCTGTGTGTCCTGAAGCATCTCCTCTGAGCAGGTCCCTTTAGTTTCAGAGGCAGGCTCACAGTTTTCTAGCTTACATTCAGGGGGGCGTTGTGACACCACGGCAGGACTGGGTGGGCTCATCCTCCCTGGTGAGCTGGAGCCTTCTGAAATGTTCAGAGGGGTTGGGGGGAGCTCAGCCGAGAGCGCTTCCAGCTCCTTGTGCGGCCGCGGGGGCTTCTCTGTGATTTCCGAAAGTTTCACCGAGTTGTAGCAAAGTTTTGTGTACTCACTGCCCAACCTCTGACACAATTCATTAATGATAACGTCACAGTCTCCGAGAAGCTCCACGTCAAAGTGAAGATGAGGCAAAGGTTCCCTATTGATTAAGATCTGAGGCACTTCATGGGGGATGGAACCTGCAGGTGGAAAAGAGAATTCAAATGTGGTCACTTGGGTTTTACTTCCAGCAGAGACCTACTGAGAAAGCTCAGGCTTCTCTTCATGCCTTCACTTGAACCAAGACAAAACCAGCCAGGTCAGGAAGAAGGCAAGCCAGTCCCAAATTTAACAATGGTGGTTTGAGGTGCTGTGCCTACTGTAGCCTGCTTAGATGGCTTTTTCCCCCCCATTTTTTCCAGTTAAAAGCATTTCTCAATCACTGAGAAACATATGCACAGAAATACTGGCTACAATAATATTAAAGATTAAAATTAGTACTATAATATCTTCAAATTATGTTGATTTTGTGCATTTGTTTTATGTACTTAAGTGCACATGAGGAATTACTGCTTTTGAGATGCTTCCTTTCTAAAGCCTTCAAGCCTTTCTAAAGCATTTCACAAGCATGGAGAAAAATGAATCTTAGAACTGAGCCATTCAAGTTTGAGAGAGCAGTTTTTCAGGTAATAATTTAATTACCTTGAGATTTACCTAGAGTGTAAAAAAGCATTTAGAATTTGTTCCTTTCTCAATTTTGCATTTCAGCTTTACATAGGCAAGCAGCTTTAGTCTTACAATTTTGTGGTGCTCACTGAATTGAACCAAAGATGCTCCTAAGAGCTTGGAGTTCCTTAACTGAGAATCCCACTTCTGATCCAAAATTTGCAAAGAAAATATTACCAGAGACAGTCACTTACTTGGGATCAATGCTACTGGTCTTACTTTGAGTGAAGACCCAATGACAATGAGGAGATCCACTTCATTTTTGTCGTACTTCATGGCACGGTGGAACTGCTCAGGCAGGTTCTCCCCAAAGAACACAATGTCCGGCTTCATGATGGCCAGGGGCTCCTCGGGGGGACAGCGGGGACAGCGGGGCACCACCTGCACACAGAGCCAGTTACTGCCTGCAGGAATGCCCTCTGAAATATTGACACCTCACAGCCCTGTTGGTGCCTGCAGGAATGCCCTCTGAAATATTGACATGTGTCACAGCCCCCTGTTAGTGCCTGCAGGAATGCCCTCTGAAACACCCACATGTCTCACAGACACTTATTTTGGCAGAGACAGGGAAGTTTCAGTGATATTTCCTCATTTCATTGTTCTGTGGATGTACTGGAACACCGCTCAGGGAAATAAAGCCAGAGCAGGAATAAAGAGGGACAAACCAGGCAGGTCTGTAGCACAAACCAAAGCCCAGCAGTCGTGCTCAACACCAACTGAGCACACCTCCCATTGGACAGGAAGAGATTTTTCATAGTCTAATCTGAACAAAAACTGAGATTTCACTGTCAGGTTCCAGTGGAGGATCTGACACAAACCCTGTCCTAATCCAAGAGTCTTTTGTAGAGCTTTACCTGCAGCTTCTCCTCCAAAAGGTTACAGGTGTTGCACCCACAAAGCTACAGGGCACTGGGGCAGGCAGCTGGCCAAGAGCATCCAGCACAAGAATAGAGCCCAGAACTTGCTTGGTCTCCATTTTAAACTTTTCTAATTCCTCAGAAACAGAGGAGAATCCTGCTTCACTAACCAAAGTGGCCACTAGTTAGATTTGTGGAGAAGTAGATTCTCTTTTTTCCTGACCCAGGGAGTTTTCTGATCTTTGGGACCTCTTTCAATTCTTTCCTCTCTAAAGACTTTTTAAGAGAGAAGAAAAGCAAGAAGGTGAGTGATAGATCCACAGACAATACTGAGCAATTTCCTTCTAATAGTGCAAATTTTTTCAGCTGTAGTGCTAAAATATAAGACTTCACAATAAATCCAAGGAGCTGCAATCATATAGGAACCATCACAAGCTACAAATTAGAGCTATAAAGGTGAAAAGATATGTACATTACCTATTGGAATAGAAAAATACCTGAAAACTGACATTTAAATGCATAACAAGTCCCTACTATACAGAGAACAGCTGCAGAAAAAAATAATATAGAATGAAAGAATTCTTTAAATGAAAGAATTAATTTTATGGATGCCTGCAGTGGGACAGAAGACAATACTCTCCAAATCAGAAAATATCACAAGTAGAAGGCCTTCCTCTAGTGTCAAATGATCTTTCCCAAAAATTGAAGTGTTTGAACAAAGAAAAGCCTTTTGGGATGGATGCCTTGTGGGATGAGAAGCAATTTGGCACAAGAGCTAGGAACTGGTGTGGTGGAAACCTTCACCCTGCACCCAAGCAAGAAAGCACTCAGTAATCCCACAGTCAAGGGAAACCACCTAAAGGATTCCCAAAAAGGAGCAGGTGGCTAGAATGAGCCTTGAACTTTCCCCTCAGATCTTTATATATTAGAAAGAGAAAATCTAACTCCAGCCAGCTGGCTCTGGAGGTAAAGGAGCAAAAATTATCTGTAGGATGTTCTTAAAAATACTATTCTTAATAGCAGAGTAAACCAAATTTCACATTCAGTAACTCAGTGTTACAAGGCTTCGGGCTTATGAGATTCCACATTTCTTAAGGCTTTAACTCAAACATCTCTTGTGAAAGGTTTTCACTGAATTCCATTTCAAATGTAATGCCTGAAGGATTTACATCCCTTCCATGTTTCTCATCTAAAGTTGCAACTGTGGACTCTGAAGCATTTATCAAAAAAACCAATGAGCCTGCAGAAAGAGCCCCTTTCATTTGCATGAACGAGATCTTTTTGATCACAGAATCATCACCTCTGTTCCTTCAAAGGAAGGGGAAGAAAAGCAAAGGCACAGAGGGTCCCTCCATGTCAAAGGCAGAGCAGAACCAACTCCTGCCTTGGTCCCAGGTCACCCAGGCATGGGGAGTTTGGAACATGGAATAGTCCCAGGAACCCCAACACCCCATCTGATCCTTGCTCTAGCCTGCTCTGTGGTTAGCAATTTCTCCATGTATCAGCTGCTGTTTGAAACACATTTTTAATACAGGAAAACACATTTTTAGTAACATCCAGTGTTATAAAAGCCTAAGAATGCTTTCTCAGTGTGACTCTAAATTCAGATCAACACAAACCAGGTATAAACTCAACTTTCTGCTTACCATTAAACCTCTACTTTTTATCAGAAGAGCTGTTAAAAATGGACTCTTAAGGTTTTGTTCTGATTTTTGCCATTACCCAATTTTTGCAGTACAGTATTTGAGTATAATTCTGAATACCAGAGGAAATGCTAAAATACAGAGAGGCACTTCTTTGAAATACATGCAGAGATATGGAGGCTTTTAAAAGCAGATCTTGTAAGCAATCCCAGTATGATGGTCCAGGGTTTGGTGTGGGGTGGTTTTGAGATAATTACTTATTAGAAAGCTGCAGTGAGTTAAAGTAGATTTTTTACCTGATTGAAAATATCTCCTCGAACAACTTCACAATCAACTTTGTATTTACAGATCAGGCAGGAAGCTGTTGCAAAGGAACCTGAGGGGAAAAACCCAAATGGTAGCATCAGGATTTTCAGTCATTCAGATCTGGTCTTATGCTCAAGCTGTTCTGACAAAAAGGCTGTTATGTTGCAGTGCTACAGAAATCAGGCATTAAAAAGGTAATGTAAAATTCAGAGGAGATCCTTGTAACACTAGAAGTTGTTGTTGTTCTAGGTGTTAGTCAGCAGAGATCTTGTTTTAGGAGTAGCCATACACCACATGCACGTCAGCACAAACGATCCTGTGTGCTCTCATTCCCCTGAGCTGTGCAAGCACAGACAAGGAGCAGAGAGCAGAAAGTGCCCTTCTCATGACACAGCAGTGGTGCTGCACAGCCTCAGCAGCACAGGAACCCACAGCAACTCCACACAGAGCACAGAATTACTGGGGAAATGCATTAGGAAAGACAATATGCTTTCAGGGTATTGTATCTGGATAAGACAAAGAGAGTGAAAGCACAGAAAAACCTGGAGCAGATCATTTATGAGCAACTGGCAGCTCAGCTCTGCTGATCACTGCAGGCCTGCCAACAGCACAGCTTCTGAAACCTTGCTCAGCACTGCAGCTCCCCAGATGAGGGGTTCCAAGGACTACGGGAGGTGTGACAGTCATTGGCTCATCCTAATTAGCTGATTGTAATAATTCAGAGCTTCATACAGCACGGTAGAGACGTCTGTCAGGCTCACAGACCCAACTCAGAGGCATCTGCTGCCCTTCTCTGCAACTCCATGATGGGAATTATTGCTCAGCAGCAGAAGTTTGGTGCCATGCATGAGCCATTCCCAGGCCACAGCCCCTGCTCACTCAGCTCCAGCAATGGCAAGGAATACAATCTAATTCCAGATGCATGGATTGAATGCAAGAACCATCTTAAATACAGCACACTGCTCCTCAGACACCACAGTTCTCACAGCAGGAACTGCACTGCAGGTCTGCAGTGACAGATGGGGCTGAAGGCTCACATAAGAACTCCCCAAATCACTGCAAGGTTCATTTTTAGCTGCTCATGATTAACTTGCCATTGCCCCAGCCACAGGAAAAAGTAGAATAAGTAGAGCAGTGTGAGCCCCCACAGAGGAGTTTTGGTTTCTCTCCAGCCACCATCATTAGGCAACAACCATTGGTTAAAGAGCAGGAGCTGTAGGTCAGATAAAGCTTGATGGGCTCAAAATAACCTTTGCTAATTTCCAGAGGCCTCAAAATCTCCAAGTGCACAAGCTTTAAAGCATCTGTGTCATTCAGAATCACTTTATACAGGACAGACACTAAAGATGGTCTGTGATCCATCCCTGCAGTGTGCAACTGGAAAAATGGGGAGCTTGAGCACAGCAGTGACGTGCAAAAACCCAGCCCGGTAAGGGGTTTGTGATAAATGCCTCAGATGCAATGCCAGCCAAAAGAAAACGTGTGACACACTGAGCACGGATGGAAACCAGCCCTGGGGCTGGGAGCTGGCTGGCAGAGCTGCTCTGTGCTGCCTGGGCCCTGCTCAGAGCACTGTGCTTGCTGTGCCTGGAGAGCCCAACCCCACAGATCTGCACTGAGCTGAGCTTTGTATGGAAACCACGAGAGTCTGGCCCCTGGCAAAGGTGCAATTAGATGGATGGGCCTTACAGTGCTGCTTTTAGATGATTTATGTGTCTGAAGTTTACTAAATGATCCAAACATGCATTTAAGAACTAATTTTCTGAATACTTTTCTTGAAAATTAATCCTTGGACTCTCAGCTTGACATATGCAAGCCCTTGGAAATGGAAAGCACATCAAGCAATTAAAGCAATTCCACTTAATTAGGCCTCATAATTACAGAATCTGTATGACACTGAAGGTGTAACAAGAGGATCTTCAGTTCAACTGAACTGGTGATTAATTCTCAATGTTTTATACATGAGGTGGAGTCACTGAAGTGTCAGGATATTTTCAGATTTCAGTGGAATATAACCTAAATAAAGAGTCAGATAACACCCAGACTCCCATTTCATAGGAGGAATGGGATGGGCAGTGAGAGGGACCTCTGGCAAGACTGGTTTCCATGTCATGCTGTCACACAGCTCAAGAAGCACCAAATGCATTCTAGAAGTTACAGTCTAAGCTTGTGCCAACAGGGTGTGGATCTTCACTGATACACAGACCCACCATCAAGCTCCATTCCTGGAAGGAGTTATTTCTACTTGAAACACTTCTGAATTAAATATGCAAGCTGTCTAAAACAAAACTTCAGCATTTAAAAACCGGAATATTTGTTGGCAAGAGACAGGAATTCAAGGAAAGAAGGTTTAATTCCAACAGTGATTACCCTGTCACATGCACCAGTAAGAACTCCCACATGGAAAATAAGTGAAACTACAGCACTAACCATGGCACTGGATTATCCTCTGGATGCCTGCCACCTGCTCCAGTGTGTCTATGTTCTGGGTGTAGTTGCGAAGGAGTTTTCCCTCTTTATCCATCAAAGCGATGAACCTGTGACAGAGGGATGGCTGGAACTGTCCTGGGTAGATTTCCTGGGGAATTCAGCAGCACATTAGACACTGCAAGTGGGTGCAGAGTTTACCTGAGCTGGGCACTGTCCCAGCCATGCCAGAGCCCTTCCCTGTCCCTCCCTGTGCCCTGGGTCCAGCTCCTCTCCCACTGCCCAGCCCCTCAGCCTGGCAGCAGAACTGCTCCCTGCAAGCTGGGACCTGGGTTCCACACAGCACAAAAGCAATGTTCAGATCTTTTCTGGTTTTGAAAATTATGAAATAGAAAGCTTTCTCTCCTTTGTTAAGTGGCAAGTGACCTCAATATTTGTTACTAGAAGCATGTATTCTGATGGACAGAAAAGGAGGAGTGAAAAAGCAGAAAAGTAAAAAGTATCAGCTAAATTAGATTTGGACTTTTCTGGTAAAACCTGTCTGTAGACAGGTTTCAAGTAAGTTGATTTTTTTGCTTGCTGTGGTGTTTTCTGGTTTGGGGTGGGTTTTTGTTTGTGGGGGTGGTGTTTTCTAATATTAAAACCCAAAGGAACCAAGTATACTAATGAGCATCAAAATTTGTTAGTATCTGGATAGGAGGCTTTCAGAGAAAGCCAAGCAGAAAAAGAATGCATTGGTTTTCTTTTCCAATCTTTGTAACAGGACAGACCAGTAGTATGAATTGTAAGAAATGGAAGAAAGGATGAGCACAACTAGTAGTGGTTGATTTTCACAAGTCCTTACTGGTCCTGTAGAAATTCTTGTATCTTGGGTTTGATTTCTTTTTGGTCCCAAGGAAATTGAAGACTAAATGCAATTGGGTTTGGTTTTTTTTTTTTTTTGTTTCTCCATATGTCTACAGTTTCTACAATTCCTTCTTGCCTAAGAGACATAATCACTGCTTTTGATACTGTTTAATATCACTGAGATCTTTTCAACCATCTGAAATGGTTGTTTATATCAAGAACTTACAACAGGAACAGTAAAATAAGCTTTACAAAGAGAGAATATTGCTGAACAGTTTCTAGCTTTTATCTGAGTTATGCATTTTAATACTGTCACCTGCCTTTACTGACCAAGACAAGAACTGCTGGAAATCCATACCTTTGCAAACTTAAAAAATGGCCTGGGGTCCTTTCTGAAGTATTCTATATCAAACATTGCTTGAGGATCTGGAAGGTCTGGGAAGTCCACAGCAAGGCGTGCATAGATGCCATCTCTGGATCTGAAGTCAGGTATTCCACAAGACACTGACACCTGAAATATATTTTTGCAGTCTGAAATAAGTGAAACTACATATTGGACCATAAAGTGTTGCTCTGGGAAACCACATTTCTGTATGCTCAGTGCTCAGAAACATTAAGACCAAAACCAGTCTGGGTTCTCTGTATTTATTTTTCTTTTCTTTTTTCTTTCTTTCTCCTTTGGTCCAATATAACAATTCCCAATCACAATCAGGAGAAACAGCACAGAAACAAAATTTGACAAGTGGACAAAAATCCCTTTAGTACAGTCTGCACAGGTAGTAACAGGACACCAGAACTTGCTTTTACCACTGGAAGTTTTGTAAGATGTGAACAAAAATTTAGAGCATTATTGCATTAAATTTAATTATTAATCGTTCACTGATCTGCCAACTCAGGCTTAGATATGGTGGTTGATATTTTAAATTTTTTTACAAGCTAACACAGTAACAGAATAGTCTTGCTTTTAAAAAATATATATTCTTACTTCTGAAGAATAAACCCCTTTTGATAAAAGTTGTTTATTGATAGATATTACTTATCAAAGCATTGTAGTAGTCAATAAGGACTGAAATCATTGTCTCAGACCACCCCAAAATAGCATGGGAAGAGGAGGAGAAACAGGTGTATGCAAGTATGGAGAGAGCAGGACTGGGAGTAGCAGTGCTCTTGTAAAAGCTGATTGGAATTACTCATCTGCTCTGAGTCGTGTCACACCCTCTGTGTGTGAACAACAGCAGCAAGAAGTGATCTGGTGCACAGGTACAGAGCTGCAGATGTGCAGCAGTGCAGAAATGTTCTTTAGTCAAACAGTGAGTAACTTTATCCCATCACACAGCACCATGTGCTGAAAGCAACATTCAGTCTGCAGAAATCTGACCAAACTGTCCCTATGATCATCCTCCTCCTCGGCCCCCCAGCTCTTCTCTAATCCTATTCTAGTCCCTCAAACTCCATCTGGGATTTAGGAGATGCACCGGGATTTTGTTTACAAAAGCCATCCCCTTTGCCTGAAGACTGGGACAGAAAAAGTTCTGGACACGTAAAATGTTCTCATTCTGTAACTGTTTAGCATGGGAGAGCTGTGTTTACAAGTTTCTATGTCTAAGAATATTTTGTCCTGAGAGGAGAGAGGTGTAATCTCCAGGGAAGCTGCAGTCCCTGCAGTGGGCTGGACTCTCCCCAGCACAGGGACTTGCTCCCACCCCTGCATGCTGCACTGAACAACCAAAATTGCAGCAGTACCTACCCCAGCCCCAGTCAACACCATGACCTTCTTGCACTCCTGCAGAAGTTTCACAGCATCATCAATGGTGTTAATGTCTTTCCTCTTCTTCCTCTTTGGTGGCTCTGAAAGGATGTTTATCACTATCTGCCACAGAGTCATGTCATCCAGCTCAGGTGGGGGGATGGTTTCTGGGAGCAGGTCCTTCAGAATCGTCCGTGGGTCTGTACCTAACATGAGATGCTGCTGAACAAAAGTGTAGGGACCTAAGGAAATTAAAAAATACAGATATTTAAAACAGAGTCAGGTACTGCAGATGATCATAGTTATTGTTCCATTTATTAATGCTTGCTAGTACAGTTTCATGAATCCAATTTAATGCTCCATTCATCAAACCCCCTGTATTTTGGTCTAAACTCTGAAGTGAAAGCTGGGCATTTTATTTATCATTATTTTATGTTAACCCATAAAGGATTTCAGAGCAAGTCAGTCAAGTAAAAATCCCAGTTTGCAGCAAACTTAAAACTCTTTTAGAGGTGCAACAGGATTTTCACAATGTGTCTCCATCTGTACTTTCCCAGCATTTGGTATTTACAGGAATAAGCTGAAAACAAACAAAACCAAACAAACAACAAACATGCATTTACTTTCCAGTGGTATTATAAACCATCACTCTAAACAAACACATAGAGCCCAGAAATCCATGGATTTTTGTTGGTTTTTGGTTCCTCTAACACAATGTCTGAATTACTTCAGACATTACCTCCTCAAGCCATTAAATCAATCTTTCCAAAAACACTTGAGATGAGGGCTCACTGTCCTAAAATCATACATGGATCATCTTCTTGAACCTAAAGAATGAATACTAAGTAGGCAGGCTATAGAAATATGCCATAAATTAGTCTAATTTAGTGAACCTGTGTGTATGCTTTCAATAGGGATTGTGGCAGGATTTCTACTCAAGAAAAAAATAAGACATTGACAATTTTAACCAAAACACAGCAAGTTTCATTTTGAAACTCCTTAAATAACATACAGAATACAGCCAACACCTCTAAGCTGTTCAGATGCACTAATTGCCAATATTTTTGCAACAGGAAAAATAATTGGAATACGGGGGAGGATGAAGTGGCTGTTCAAAGGCAAAGAGCATCCAAGAACGTGCTCCAGGCTCTTACCTATCCGTGGTCTTGGGGTCCAGTCACTGGAGCTGGCGTGTGAGGCTCTGTCTTCTTCATCACTGTCACAGGAGTGGAAGCCATTGGCAATGATTTCATCGCTGAGCAGGAAGTTATCTGCAAGACAGCACGAGCAGGGGGTTACACTCCAGCCCAGGGGCACAGGGTAGCTTCAAACACATCACAAAAACAAAAATCTCACTCTCCATTGGCAGTTTTGTCACTTAGGCACAGAAAGTGTCTGTTTTTCTTCACATGTATAGATATACTTCCAAGCTGTTGGTGGATTTGCTACCTCAGTGCTGGGCTTCAGGGGACCGCACCTGGCCTTGGTGAAAGCTCATTCTCTGAAGTGTTGGGCATTGTGGATATTTCACCATAGAAAAAAATCCAAACCTTTTAAAAGTACAATTAAAGATGTCTTTCCCCTGCAATTCTCACTGCATTCAGCTCGTTGAAAAACTGGGTGAAATGAAAACATGTCACCATTGCAGACTGATCTGTGACTAGGTTTTAAGAGCATTTTAACAGCATTTTGAAAGAAACCCACAAGTGCACATTTAATTCACAGGATTTGGTGAGGGTGTTACCTTGCAGCTCAGCTGTACTTGCTGACCACATACTCAATTTATGATATTTCAGTTGTGACAGAGAAGATGCTGCCCTGAGTTTCTCTCATCCATGTGCCCCTGCAGCTGGGTCTGGTGCCAGTCAGCCAAGCTGAGCCCGTGGCCTCAAGCCAGAGAAACTCAATCTAACTCCACCTCAGCCCTCCATGAACCAGCCCAGGGCACAACCAGGCACTCGTGTTACTGAGCTCACAATGAAGGGAAATCTACATTCCAACCTGAGCAGCTTATTAGAACTTAGACTACCCAACCTTTTTTTACTGGCTTTAGTAGAAACAGCCTCAGCACCTATAGATTCACAGTTGTTGAAAATCTAAGATATGAACAAAAACCAAATTTCAGTCCTGCTCTGCAAAGCAAAGAATCACTAATGTAGTTCTCAGCCTCTTATCTGAAGAACTGAAGAAGCCCCTGCACTATTTTAGCTGTTATTCCACTTGATTCTCAAATAAAGAACACCACAAAACACCATCATTTTTTATTCAGAGTTTGTGTTCTTCTCCAAGTCCTTCTCCTTGTTGGCATAAATACTTTATTTTCGATTAGAAAAGAAAGAGGTCAGTGACAGAAATTTGTTGTTGGTTCTTACTGTCTTGTTCTTCTGAGGCCACAGGTGCTCACAGACACTACTATTATAAATCTATTTATTTACAGCATTTCAGTGCCATCTCATTATGCATGAAGTCAGTGAAGATACTGAGAATTTTGGAGCAGGAAAAAGTGCATTAGCACACATGAGGAACTGCGGGGTGCAAGTTTAAGTGGAGAAACCTTCATGGCTTCTGTATCAAGCAGCAAAGCTTACATTGTGAAAGGCTCCTCACACACCGGCCACAGAGCCTGGGATTTAGGAAACAGAGACAGATACAAGCAGGATAAAGTAACAGCAAAACTGTAACACTGCCTGAGCATTCCTCAAAGGACAGAAGGGGTAATGCTGGCCAGAACCAAACCAGGCACAGCAAAACACGAAGCCTGAGCAAAAGGCTTCGTGTAAGGCACTGATCAGAAATCACTGGCTTTGCTCTGAGCTGCTGCAATGGAGGATTTCAATGCTGAGGCTGTTGCAGGTTTATTCTGTACCTGTTCCTTTTGGACTGCTTTTGCATAGAGAGAAAGTTTCTGTAGAGTTTTACTCAAGAGTTAAAGTACCTTTAACTGCATTCCAGGATAAAATGTAAAGACTGCACTGGCAGAATACAGTGTCTGATATATTTTAATATATCCTTCCAAAAAAAAAGCCAAAATTACCCACTCCAACAAAACAAAACTCAAACCTGATCAGTTTACACTGTGAGACACTTTCACAGTGATGCTGCCCACCAGTACACTTCAAATATGATCTGAAAGAATTTAGAAAGATTATAGTTCAGTTTTCTGCTGCACTCAAACCTTAACCAAGGCTGTCACTTAGAGTTCTTTAGAGAACTAGTCAAGGCTGCTGCTCCTGAGCCTGTATGCAAGTTTCTAAGGATCAAAAATACAATAACTAACACGGCAGAGATTATGAAAAGGAAACCGGGCTTATCATATTTCATTTTACAAACTTGTTGCCAGCAGCAGAGCAGAGTGACCGTTCCCAGGGCTGCAGCGGAGCCGCTGTCCCCGTGCGGCACAAGTCGTGCTGTGCCGTACCGTGCCGTGCTGTGCCGTACCGTACCGTGCCGTACCGTACCGTGCCGTGCCGTGCTGGGCCCGGCGCTGCCCCGGCCGGCGGAGCCGCAGGCCCCGGGTTCGCTCCGTGCGCGGGGCCGGGCCCGCAGCGCTGCCCGCGCCCGGCCGTGACACCGTGCCCCGCGCGGGGAGGAGGGGAGGGAGGGAGGGAGGAGGGAGGGGTCGGTCCTCACCGGGATGCGGAGCCGGCACCGCGGCCGCCCCGTTCGAACACTGCGCCCGCCCGCAGCCCGGGGCCGCCTCCGCCGCGTCTTCGCCGGGCGCCGCCTCCGCGCCCTCCCCCTGGTCCCGCCGCGGAGGCGGCTCCGCCCGGGGCAGGCCCCGCAGCCCGGCCCCGCCGTCCGCGCCGCTCCGCGCCGCCGCCGCCTCGCCGCCTTCCTCCCGCTCCGCCCGGCCGCCATCGGCCGCCGCGGCCGCCTCCTCCCCCGGCGGCTCCGCGGGCACGGCGGCGGTGGGCGCGGGCGGCGGCCCCGCGGCGCGGTCGGGGCGCGGAGCGGGCGCGGCGCTCCCCGATCCGCGGCGGTGCCGCTTGGCCGCGGGCTCGGCGCTGTCGCTGCCGGGGCCGCCGGGGCCGCGCGGGCGGAGCGGCGCAGCGTCCCCGTCCGCCATCTTGGCGCCGCCGCAGCCGCCGCCCCCCTCGCGCCCGGCCCCCCCGCCCGCCGCGGGCAGCGCCGCCGCACGTGACCGCGCCACGTGACCGCCAACAACAAACCAGAGCACGTGACCGGGGGCGCTGCCGGCGTCACGTGGTGCTCGTGCCGCCTCACGCCCCCTCCCTGCGCCGGCCGCGCCATGGCGGCGCCGAGAGCCTGAGGGAGCCTGAGGGGGCCCCGAGGGGGCCCCCGAGGCGCCGCCGGCCCGGCCCCGAGCCCTGCCTTTCCTTCTGCTCCCGTCCCTGCCCGTGTCCCTCTCAGCCCGCCCCTGCAGTTCCTCTGCACTCCCCGGCCGGCGGCTCCCGGCAAATGGCGGCTCCGCTGTTCGCTCCTCCGCAGCCGCGTGAGGAGCCCTCGGGGCTCGCTCTCCCATCAGGGTATCGGCCAGACCGTGCCCCTTCCCGAGGGCGAGCTCCCCGCTGCAGAGCCTGTGCTGGGCTGTGCGGGACCTGGCCGGGGGAACCCGCCCGCCGGGGCTGCCCCTGAGCGGGGCGGGGGGCGCGGAGCGGCCTCGGAGCGCTCGGAGCTGAGGGTGAGGGTCGGGGTGAGGGTGAGCCCAGGGCACGGCCCTTGTCTGCCCGGGCAGCGCACCGGCACCGCGGCTGCTGTTAGGGATCGCCCCCTGTGCTCCGGGAATAACACCTTGGCCCCACCTGGGGCTCTGCATCGCGGTTCTGGAGCTTTTTTAGGCGGTCAGCGCCTGTCTAAACCAGCGCTGCTTTGGGAATGGAGCCTGGGTGGTGTAGGAGTGACCCGATGGTCAGCGGCCAGAGTTGGGGTTTGTCCGAATCCCGGCCCCAAACCCATGGTGTTTCCCAGCTCTGCAGGGCTGTGCGCGTTGCTCTCCCTGCTTTCCCGGGATCCCTCGTTCTGTGCAGAGTCGGAGCAGCCCTCGGTGCCCCAGCGGGGCCATCCCTGCACAGCGAACAGGAGGTGCCATGCCTGGGCTTTCCATGGCGTGGTTTCTTTCCACCCGGGAGTTTGGACTGGACAGAACTCAGCCTTTTTCCCAGGACTGCCACCAACCTAGAATTTTGGCCTAACCTTCGTGGATAGACATTTAAACACTGGTTTGTTGTTACTGTTGAACATCACGAGCTATTTGCAGAATAGTATTAGTGGCTTTAATACAATGGAATTCCTAAATTTAGTGGCAAGACCCAGGTTACACAGGTAGAATTTCCCCCTTGCAGGCCTTGATAAGGAACACTTTTAAAAAACCTTGGGATTAAAAATTTTGATACAAATGGCTTCAAAGGGATTACTTTATAGATAATTAACTTTATAGGTGGTCTTTGCCCTGAAAAATACACACATACTGCCTTTTCCCACTACCTGCTTCTCAAAGCAAGCTGCAGAGTAACCAGATCAGAAAGTTTTTATTGTTCTGTGCAACTTTGTATGGAAGCATTATTTTTCCTGCTTGCCTCTGGAAGCTGAGGCAAGATCCGTATTTCTTAAAGAACACATGCAAGATGCTTTTGTCAGCATGTAAAGGGGAGGTGGGGCTTTAAGACTGGTTTGGTGGTTATTTTTGTGAAGACACTTCTGAGGAAGAAATAATCCAAGTGCTGCAGGTGTAGGATCTGAGGCTTTCCATGAAGGTATCGATGAGGGAGTGACTCAGGGATCCCAGAGGAGCCTCCTCTGATCCTGCAGAATTTTCCCCACGTTAGTGATGGCACTGCAGGAGTTGCCTTCTTGTGGGAGGGCAGTTTGGCAGTGCTTGGGTCCTCTCCTGATTATTCTGCAGCTCTGAGCTTGTGTGAGGACAGGGATGGGGCAAAACTCAAACGAGTTATACTGCGCCTTGGACTTCTCATAAATGTGCTCTCTGCCCTCAGGAAGCAAAACCCTGAGGTCAGTTGAGAACAGGTCCTGGAATATTTAACATATTTTACAGGAATGAACTCAAATAGAGATTTATTTAAAGGGCTATTTATGATATTTCCAGGTTGTTGGTAAATGTTCTGTTCCATGGAAGCAGAATTCCGATTCGCTCTGGGCTCTGAACAAACAGAATTGTCAATATGTGTTGGGACTGAGAGACACCTTTTGTTGGTGGCTGGGTACAGAGAACAAATATGAGATTTCCTCACTTCCAGAACAGTTTGTACATCCTGAGCAACACCAGCAACATTCCCTGCCAGCTGCCACTTTGTCACTGCAGCCCCTGGAGCTGCAGCCGCCTGGCAGCACAGGAACAGCGCTGAAAGCTGCAGGGGGAAAGGGTTAAAGGGCTTCCCTTTCACCTGACGCAAATACACGAGGAATACCTGGAAAAGAAAGGGGTGTCAGGAATGCTGTTGGGAGGAGGGACAGCTGTTTGTTTTTTGTCCTCCCACAGAGTACAAGCTATTTAAATATTTACATGTTCTGTTATTAAAAGACTTTCTTTCCTGTACTTTTCTGGTTATGAATGGTGGAGATGGGGAGATTTGTAATTGCTAATTCTTCCACTTGTAGTAACATTGGAAAAAAAATTTCTGTTTTATTTACCCAGAGAAATATGCTGGTAGAGTTTTCTATCAGATTCAAATGGTTTAACCAAAGATTGTGCTTTTTCTTTTAATATTGTTGCTTTTAGTTACTTTGTATATTTTATAATCTTAGTAGGCTATCTGAACATGCAGTAAAAGTAGAAAATTTCAGACGATGAAACCTTGAAGAGGAAATGGTGGAAGATTAATATTAAATGTCATTGCAGAACATTATTATTGCAGATATCAAAGCTCTTGTGGACGCAGAAATTATATATTTGTTATTCATAAATAGCTCTGAATGGTCACTGGGCCCCTCACTGATAGACACACGGCCTGTTCCAGCCTTGGTCACAGCCTGGCCATCTGCTCTCCTACAGGGTCAGTGCATCTAGAACTGCATAACCACTCACAGCATCGATTTGCAGCTGCTAAGGAAACATCAGGAGTTAATGACATGAAATGACATTAATGACATCTTGGGTTGCGGAGCTCTTGCAGGGGTGGGAAATGTAATACCAGAACTCCTAAGGCTCCAGGGCAAAGACTTCAGCATGTGGTTAGGTTAGGAAGCAATCTTTTGAAATCAACAGATCATGGGGGACACAAAATGTGTCAAGTTGCTGTTGGGCCGAGGCCTTGGTCACTAATCATAGTTGGAAATTCAGGTATTTCACCTCAATGTAGAATGAGTTTCACAAGGAATGTGTTTTGCACACTGTACAGACCTTCAATACTCAGTCTGAAAGTAATGTGGCATGAGAAAGAGTGTTCAATTTGATAGTAGCAGTGAGTGTTTCATGTCCTCGGGTAGCTTTAGTTGGTCAGTGAGCGGTGTACCATTGCTGTTCGGCGTTCAGCAGCAGTGTCTGTGCACCAAGGAAGCCTTCAGAGAGTGAAGGTGGTGGCAAAAGTTGTAAATAAAACTTGAACAGAAGATGGCCCATGTGCAGGGCTGCCTCTCGATGCGTGCCTGTTTGCAGTGGCTGCACAGGTGATGGTGAGAGAAATCTCCGGCACGTTTCAGTGTCCGGAACCCTGCGGCGTGGGCGGGAGCCACGGTTTAACATTGGAGTGACCGTGGCAACTACAAATCCCAGGGAGCAGCGCCAGAGCAGCTCCGTGCGGGGCCAATGGCAGCGGGTCAGCTGGCAGCGCTCAAAAGCGCCGCACGGAGCGGAGCGGGGCTGGGCTGGGCTGCTCCAGGTTCCTGTGTGAGCTGTGCCTGCCCGCCGTGCCCCGCAGCCTCCCTGCGCTGTCCCTGGGCTGCTCCAGCTCCCCGTGTGAGCTGTGCCTGCCCGCCGTGCCCCGCAGCCTCCCCGCCGGCTGGGGAAGCCCGCTGGACCGGTGCCGATGGATGCCATCCTGAACTGCAAGCCGGAGGACCTGGAGGATTACTACAACTTGCTGGGATGCGATGAGCTATCGACGGTAAGAGTCTCTGCCTCCTTCGCCAGCTTACTCACAGTTTGAACGTGCTCCTGTGTCCGCAGGGAATCTGCGAGCAGGAATGTTTGAAATGCCTTGTGCATCTTCTTTCTTGCCACTGGTAGGATCTCCCTTGGAAAGCTCAGTTTTATCTCCCGTGTTTTCTCCAGCATTAAGAACCTGGAGTAAGGCTTAGGTTGAAAATATCATGTAGAACAGGAGTGGGTTATGGAGAGAGCCAACTGCATGTGTTTGACAGCATCCAAATAATAGTTTGGAATATATATTATTGGTTTTGAAAACTGAAAAGGAGCTATTTATGTGCAAGTAATACAGTGAAAGTTCATAGCTTTCTGATAATACTGATACTGCTGAGTTTCTTGGGCTTTATACATAGTATAATATTTTTTAAAATATATTCACTTGTTGAGATGAAAACAAAACCAGTATCTCTTTATAATTTACCATATTGATATTTTAAAATGCTGTTTTAAATTAAATTCAAAGACTAGTGTTACTAATTTGTTTCGATAGCAGATACATGCTTTATAATGAGATTTAGCTAAGCTATTTTTGAGTGATGTGCATCGTGTTAAAGGTGTCCATACAACTTTTTGTTGGCTAGTCTAGTATGCTGATTTTCTCTCTTTTTTTTTGTTGGCTTTTTTTTTTTTTTGCTTGTTTGTTTGTTTTTGTTTTGTTTAGTTTAGCTGTTATATTAAGTGGAATTGAGTTTTTGGTTTGGAAAAGGAGTTTTGATTACTCTGCTGTAATGAGGGATGTATTCAGTGGAGATAAAAGCTGTCTGTCTTTTGCTCAGTATATTTAACCAGATGCTCTCACCTGCCCTAGTGGTGAAGTATAAGGATCGGGAGTGAACATCCTCAGTGAGTCCCGGAGGGAAATGTGAAGCTTTTCCCGAGGACACTTCAGAAGAGATCCCAGCAGAGGGCAGGGCTCCACGCAGCCTTGTTTCACACATGCTGTTTCTCACTTCCTACCTCACACTAATTCCTTAAGGGCTTAGCAATTAATGAACACTTCAAGTACATGCGATAATGATTTTTCACATTGCTTGAAAATGAAATGTAAAAGGTGGAATAAATGTAATGGGTCCTGAAAAACAAACTCTCAAGTACTGTTTGTTGGGAGAAGCAGCAGATGCTGCTGCACTGCTTTTGACCCGGGAGATCCCAGGCTGAGCTCCAGGTGCACCTCAGGACCTGCACAGCCCCTCTGGGGTGTCACAGGAATTTGGAACATTACAGGGATTTTGCAGTCTCACTGCTTTGTACAGGAGTCGAGCATTTGGCACAGCATGCACAGCACACTCCCAGCTGCAGCCCTTTCATCTGAGCTGCTCAATATCCTGCTCTTGGTTGGACCTGGTTAAATTTAAGCAGAAATACTCTCAGTTTTACAGACTTGTTGCTGTATTCAAGTAAACACAAACCAAGTTCATTCGTGGCTTCTGGTAGAATTGAGCTGACAGACACCTACTTCATCTTCAGATGTGACAGGAAGAGGGGAGATTTAATCTCCATCCTTCTTCAAGAACAATGCTGGTTTTGTATAGTGGGTATTGATGTCTTTCTTGGTGAAGCACCTCACTATATATTTTATATTAATTTTGTGTATGTTCTATAAACTTCCTATAAAGTTTTCTTTCTACTGATTTTTTTTTAAGCTGAAAACTTCCATGTTGCCCTTCTGCTAAATTTTAACCCTCTGTACACATTTTAACTTTAAAGTTCCCTTTAAGTAACTAAGTGTTTGAGATGATAACTGGCTATACAGTAACCAGTCTCACCAAGTTCTCTGTGCACTGTGTGTGTTTTAAAGTGTCTTACTGACTGCAGACACACCACATTACATCTGTCCCTCTGGAAGGAGCTTCTGAGCAGAGTGAAAAGTGTAGAATTCTTAAGATACTACTGCAGATCAGATTTTTTCCCAGAATATGCCAACAAGATTTGTCCAGCTAGTTGAGTGAACTGTAATTTTATTCTAAATAAAAAATGCTATGAGACTTAATTTTGAAGTAAATAATTTAAATTGTATGTGGCTTTTATGGTAGGAAAAATGATCAATTTGTATAAAGAGCCTTTGTAGTATGGGAAAGAATGGTCATTTTTATTCCTTAGGGTGAATTGTGAAAGCTTAAGCTGAACTGGAGTGATATAAAGAAGTTTTGGCTTCTGAATTATAAGAACCAGCAAGATACTTGGAAAAGCACTAAATATTTGAAAATCTAAGCTGATGCCCACTCCAGTGGCTTCATGGCTCCACATGTGTTAGTTTTTCCAGTGGTTGCAATACTTTATGGTATAACAAACTGTGGGAATTTGCAATTAACTGATAAACTAACACTTGCCAATATTCTCACATTGATTATAGATGTATTCTACTCCAAGCCAACCTTTTTGCAAGGAAAATTAACTTGAAGAAAGAATATGCACTACTGGTTATGGAATATGCACTACTGGTTATGGAGTGAGTTATCTTGTGGTGTCCAAGATGGAAACCCCATGGGGTGCTGGCTGAATTTCCTATGGAGAGGATGTGGAGGAAGCCACCCAAACACACAAATTGATCTTCAGCAATGCAGAGAGCCTTTGCTTCCTGCTCTGAGACTCTGCTGAAGGTTGGAGTTGATTAAGCAAAGTAAAGGGCAACTGAAGGGATGCATTTGGCCTCTGTGGCCAAATGTCTTTGCACATTTTTCTCGACCCATGCTGGATGACTGAGCCTCACAAACACAAGGCTAAGGATGGAAATGAGATTAAATAAGCAGTGTCACTGGCAGATGGTTGTTGTTACCTACTTTGCTTGTACTAAAGCTTGTAAAATTGAATGGGACAAAATCTTTTCAGCATTCCTTGTTGTTTCTCCCAGCCTCTTTCAAAAAGAAAATTTGCTAATTTTTTCTGTGTTTACTCACTTTGTCTCAATGTTTTGTTTAGGTTGAACAGATTCTTGCTGAATATAAGATTAAGGCCCTTGAATGCCATCCTGACAAGCATCCTGGAAACCCCAAAGCGGGTATGTATTCTTTCCTGTGTAAAAACAATCTATTTTTTTTTCTTCTATTAGCATGGCAAGATAAAAAATTCAGCCTTAAAACTTTATTTCCCCTCAGTACATTTTAATCATGGTGCGCATTGAGCACGTTCTATTTAAATAGCAAGCTTGTGATATTCTTTCTAAGACTTGCACTCTCCTTTGTGATAGTGAAGGAGGACACTTGTTGGATTTTTTTTTTTTATTTTTAGGACCTTGAATCTTTTTTCTTTCTACAGTAGATCATTTTTTGATACAGAATTTATTTCTGGAGTGTGTCCCTTCCTAGACCTACACAGTTGGTGCACTTCCATGCTCAGTGGCCCTCAAGTGCCACACTTGCATCAATCAGTTAATTTAGGGTCAGGAATGAGGCTGTGAGGAGCACATAAATGTGCTTTATTTTCTTTTAATGTAATTCAGTGGCTGGAAGGGCAGAGAAGGCAGCCCCACGAGGAGCCTCTTTTTGCAGAGCAGCAGCTGATGTTTGTGTTGGTGAGAGGGAGCAGCTCCTCAGAGCTGGCAGGGCTGAGCAGCACCTGAGTCATTTGGAGCCAATCTTTGCCCATTCAAATCCACAGAGAGCCCTGGGCAGAGCTCAGCAAGGCTGAGGTACAAAAAAAGAGCAGCCAAGTGCCAAATATCAGAGCGGCTTTGCTTGGCACAAAGAAATGTTATACTCTACCTCAACATGCCATATTTACTTTAAGTACCTTTTTACAGTATTAGTGAGAGTTTACTTTGTGTTTTATTTCATCAGCTTAAGGTTAATAAAGAGTAATAAAGTAGACCTTTTATTTGTTGAGAACTAGTAACATTAGAATAAGAAAATCTAGTAATATTAGAATATGAAAACCTCATACAATTGTTCCCTCAGCCTGTTGTCTCTTGTTTGATTTATTGTTACCATTTTTGATTAGTGTTTGGGTGTAGTGTATTTCAAAAGAACTCTCTCTAATTTGTAAACTGGAATAAATGAATAATAGCAATAATGTTAGATCACTGCTACATAGGTGAGTCATAGATAAAGTCTAAATCTTTATGACCCTTCCACAAATAGTAACAAGCAGCTGCATCCTTAGTAACCATTCCGTGAAAAATTACCCTGTAGGGAGAAATGAGAGTTCTTACTCATCCAGTCTGGATAACATTTTAGCATACGTGGAAAATACACCTAATAAAATGCACAAGTTAATTAATCTGAACTATATTTAGATTATTATTCTTGTCTGTTCCTGTTCATTTTTTTTCTTGCTGCTCATGATTCTTGTTGCTGTGCTCTGCTCTGACCCCTGTGCTGCTGCAGATCTCAGTGCGTTCCTTCTAAGCAGTGCTGCTCTAATTTCCCTTTTTAAGGTGGTCTGCAGGGGCTGTGCACTCTCTAAGTTTCTCTGACCTTGTGTTTAGGAGCTTTTGAAGCTGGTAGACAAAGGAACATTCCAGTGCTGATTTGCAGGGGTATCCATGATCCTAAAGCCAGCCAGAGCTGTGCAAGCTGGACCCAGAACCACATCCCTTGGCCACTTGCTTCTCCTTTGCTCTGAGCCATTGCTGGCAGGCCCCTTTTGGATCTGAATTCATGTATTTGCCAAGAAGCCTTGTTCTCAGCGTGGTTTCTGTGTGTGGCAGTGGAGGATTTCCAGCGGCTGCAGCAGGCCAAGGACACGCTGACGGACGCGGAGCGCCGGGCCCGCTACGACCACTGGCGGCGGAGCCGAGTCCCCGTCCCGTTCCGGCACTGGGAGGCGCTGGGCAGCTCCGTCAGGACGGTGCGTGCTGTGCTGCGGGAGAGTCACGGCTCTGCCTTCCTTCTGCTGTGGGCATGGGGCACACACCTTCCTGCGCTGGGCATGTGGCCTGTTCAGGGCAAACTTGGGACAGAACCCCCTCTAGCAAAACAGATCCAATCGGCCCCTCCTCCCGACCAGTCCGGGAGAAACTACCTCCTTGGAGAAAAGTGGGAAAAAACTGTTTATTATACAACAAAACCTAAACAATATTAACCAATAAAACCCCTTGTTGCTCCAAAAGAGATGACGAACTGAGAAAGTCGCTCCCCTGTTGCAGCTCAGCTCACTCAGGCTCTGATCAGTCCCTCACGGGCCAGGCCCGGCCCTGTGGCCACAGCTGCAGCTGCCGGTGCTCTGCTGAGTGTTCAGTCCAGAGCAGGTTTGAAATGCTCCAAAGAAAAGGGAAAAAGAAAAACAAAAAAACACAGTCCAGGGAACTTTTTTGCCTCAGCAAGCTAAACTAACTAAAAGCAAAGGAGAGCTCTGTCCTGCTATCTGTCCATCCACAGACAACACACTGCAGGAGCAGGAATGTGGAGGAGTGAGTGCAGTGTCTGAAACAAGCTGCAGCTTCTTCTCTCCCCCTTCACTCTCTGCAACAAGGCTTAAAGTGCAAAACTTATTATTCAGCATAAACAGAATAGACAATTGGGGATAAAAGCATCATGTAGTCAGCCTAGGACAGGATGTTATGGAAATTCAGGGGAAATTGGAGCACTTGAGGAGCCCATTCACAGAAGGGTGTTAGGCCAGTAGCTTTAGAGTGAATTTATCAAGTTGCTGCTTTTATAGGAAATTTAAGTAACTTAAGAGCTGTTTTCAAATGCTTCAGCTCACTTTGCTTTTGTAGGAAACTTTTTCTTTTCAAAGTTAAGGTAAAGCTGGGATCTTTTTATAATATATTCTCCTCTTGGTATATTGCTTATCAGAGAGTTTTTCATGTTGTCTGATTAAATAAAAATGTCACCGAAAAAATCCAGGGGGTGGTTCCTTGGAACCCTGTGCTTCCCTCATAGCTTTGGAGGGGCTCTGAGGGGCCGGTGGGGTCATCTGGGACAGAGGCAGGAGCTTTTTGGGTGATTTCCTTCCTGATTTTGCTATTGAGAAGATTTGGAAGCATGCCCCTAGTACAGCATAATTCCATGATATTGGATTGGGCTACATGGTCATATTTTAAGACAGGTGAATAGAAGTTTCCTGTCAGTTCTGCTCATCTCAATTCTCCTTAGGAGAAAAGTTTGACACTTCAACTACAGCATTATGCCTGAGCTTAAATGTTTGGTGGAAATATCCAATTAAGCTTAGTTCAGTTCCAAACAGATGTTATTCCACAGACTTTAATATTAAATCTTTTCAAATTGCCTTGCCTTCAAAAGGTATTCTGAAGTTAAAGACAGCTTTGAAAATGAACATTTCTGAAGTCACTCAAGCCCTCTTAAAAAAAGTCTGAATTCATGACAGAGGAAACTGGACAAAAGGCCCTTAAAATTCTGATGTACCTTTTGTTCTTCACCCCCACCTGCCATAAAGTGTCCTCTCCAGTGCTGTTTGTGACATGTAACCATACTTTCCCCCATCCCATTGACCTGCAGGCTTCTCAATGTGCTTTGTTTAACCATTTATTGCTGCAATATAAAAAAAGAAAAAGTCATTTTAAACCCTTAAAGCACAGGGCTTAGTTCTTTGTTCTGTTTGCATTCCTTTAGTCAATGCACTGGGCTGTCCAAAGCAAGAAGGACCAAATGCTGGAAGCTCCTGGCTTTGGTAACACCAACAACAGAACCAACGAGATGTGGGCCCAGCAGATGGAAAGCAGTGGAGAGGGATTGTTGGAAGGGAGCAGGGAACAAGAAGATGTTGCAATCCCTGATGAGCAACCACAGTCTTCAAAGAATCCAGACTCCCCAAGTAAGTGAAAACAGCACTTACAGAAAATTGCAGTATCCAGGGACTGGCCTGAAATGGGGGCTTTCAGTCATGGGAAAGTCTTCTCCAGAACAGTGTGTTGAACTTTCAGCTTTTTAAATGTGGTTTTGGGTTGGGATTTTGGTTTGGGGTTTATGCTTTTGATTACTTATGTAATTTTGAAGTTTTCAGATGTTCCTTCCTCCCTATCCCAAGTTTCCTTGTTTGTTTGCTGGTAAAAGCTGCAACTGGAGAAGGAGAAAAAAAAGTGCTTCAGCCAAAATGGAAAGTTTAGTTTTTCTGATATATAAAAATGTAAAAAGAGAAGGCAGTTATTTTCAGTGACTTTTTAAAATAAAATTTAGAACTGTTAAGTAAAATATTTGTTTGGTGATTTTTTATCCATTATTGAGTGCTTTTGCACAGTTTTCATCTGATGAGTTAATGAGGTCTAAAATTTGAGACTTGAAGGCTTCTTTTATACTCAAACAGTTTTGTTTTTTCTAAGTAGTGTATGCACCAGAATAAATGTCTGTTTCAAAAGTGTCCCCTGGCAGTCAGCATTTCCTGGCTGTGCTTTAGGTCATTGTTAAACAAAATCCTGCCATTCCCCCCCAGTTTGATCAAAGAGCAAATTAGGGTCAACTGGGAGGGTAGCAAAACCTAATGTAATCCCAAATATTTGTGGAATGCACAAAATTGGTAAGAAAATTCTACAAGGAGGTGCATACCAGGCCTAACTGAAAACTTGATTTTGAAAAATTATGCTGTATAACTTCATACTATTTGCTTTTTTTTTTTGGTAATTAAATCATCACTGCATCCTTTGTAGAACACTAAAGTTGTGAAGTAAAGAAAACATCATTTTGTTCCTTGTAATGGTGAATTTTCCTTTTGGGCATCTTCTTTCTCAAGTTTTTATTTTTTTAGTTTTAATTTAATTTCCAGATATTTGGATGGAAAAAAACCATCAAACTCATCAAGTGCCTACTTCATTTATCCAGTGGCATATATTCACCTGAATAAATGTTAATGGTATAATATGTTTGACAGGGTGTGTGTGCACTTCAATGTTTATACCCCATGGTAGGGTGTTGATGATGTTTTTGTTTTGATCCAGCAAAAATCGATGTATTGGGTTCCACTTTGAATCCATGGCATTGTCTGTTCCTGTCACTTGTGGCATTTTTGGGGTCCCCAGACAGAGGAGGAAGGAAATTATGAATCTGACTCCATGTTCTTGGAAGACTAATTTATTATTTTATGGTATTATATTATATTAAAGAATACTATACTAAAACTATACTAAAGAATAGAGAAAGAATACTTACAGAGGCTTAAAAAAATAATAATGATAAAGTCCTGGTTCTCTCCAGAGTCCCAACTCAGCTGGCTGTGATTGGTCCATGAGTCAAAACAATTCACATGAAACCAATCAAACAATGGCCAGTTGGTAAACAATGTCCAGACCACATTCCAAAGCAGCAAAAGAGGGAGAAGCAATCAGATAATTATTGTTTTCATTTTTCTCTGAGGCTTCTCAGCTTCCCAGGAGAAGAAATCCTGGTGAAGGGATTTTTCCAGAAAATATGACAGTGACAGTCACTGGCCTGGATGAATTCTGGACTGCCACCTACATGGCTATTTCAGCTCAAACAACAGATTTGAGCACTAATTCTGCTCACAGGATTCAGTTTGCTGTAAAAGGAAGGTCACACTTTGGTATGAAAAGGCCCCAGATCACACTTGCAGATTTATCCCATCACCACCTCCATCTCCTTCCCTCGATCAGGCCACTGCAATTTGTCAGTGTTGCTTTGTGAGTCCCTGCAGGGCTGCCAGGGTCCTTGCTGTTCTCCTCTGGCACCTTCCCAGCTGAGCTCTGGTGAGGGTTGGTGTTTGGTTCCTGTTCCAGCCTGCCAAGAACTCAGTGCTCTGTTTGTCCCTGCTAGGCAAGAGCCCTGCAAGTGACCACTTTTCTGTTTACTTCTTTCTGGGAAGACCATCGAGTACTGTTTCAGAAAATTAAATTTTATGCATGTTTATAATAATTTAATTGACTTTCTGGTTTTTCCCCTCAGGATTTTCAGAGGGGAATTACTGGCACTTGCGTTTCCGCTGGTCAGGCGATGCTCCATCAGACCTTCTGAGGAAATTCAGAAACTATGAGATCTGAAATGAGAAACACACAGGAGCATGAGATCATCTCTTCACCATTCCCTTTGTATTTTTAACAGCAGTTATAAGTTATTTGCATTTTGTGTTCTTTATTGAAATGTGTTGTTCTAGTCAATGTCTAAATACTGATTTATCACACGTGCTGTGAGCATTACAGATGGAGACTTTTCTGTTCAATAACCTTTTCAGTATTAATATAAATGGATGTTGTGAAGTTATCTAACCTCTTGTATATCGTTTCTTATATTCTCAAATATTGTGTAATGATTAATATTTCGTTCAATAGTGTGATGTTATAAAAACATACTCTCAGTAGAACCCCGGGCTCCAGGGTATCCTACTCAGAGAGGATCTTCCAAAAGCTTTATGACAATGAACTCTGCTTAACTCTGTGCTCTGCTTCACTTCTCCATTGCCTTGTACTCACTACAGTGATTTATAATGTACTCATTACAAACTTAACTTGTAGGAGGGTTGTGATCTTATGTTATAGATGAAATAAGAAGGTTCTTGTTATCCAAGGTCTCTGTGACAGATCAAGCACTCCTGAAAATCACTTGTTTTCTACCTTAACAAGAATACTTTTTGCATCAGCAATATGTTTGTTTTGGAAGGCAGTTTCAGAACTTTACTTCTTCAGATAGCAATTTTTGTCTCAAGATGTATTGGTGGAAGACCGATCCCCTGTGTATGTGTGCCAACATTGTCCTGTGGCTTCAGAGCAATTCCCCTCCCTGCTCAGCTGTGCTAGACTTGGTTTTACCAGGGTTTTGTACAGTGAGGAATGAAACATCAGATAGTCAGCACTAATGTCTACAAAATCTCACATGAAAGTTTTTGATACGTTGGGCAACTTGTCAAATTCTGCATTGTTGTTTATTTATTTTGTGTTTGTTTTCTTCTTTGCAAACTTGGCTAATATGTCAGGTATTGACATTGTGGTTTTGTGCAGGCAGATAATTCCATCAGCAGCAAATAAAACTTCACGCATACAGAAAAGGAGTTTCTTTCATCTTTTTAATTAAATACTCCTTCCACCACAAGAGATTCCTTTGGAATTTCTTGTTATTTGTCATCTTAAGAGTCCAGCTGGGAATCGCAGGCAGTGCAATGGAAAGTGTACCCTGGTGAGCGCGGTGTTGTGCCCACATGGGAACAATCTGCTGTCTGTCTGTCTGTCTGTCTGTCCCTGGGGGGTGTGTGTCTGGCCTCTGTGCTGCCTGGGTTATGTGCCCCTCCTGCCTGGGGCCTGTTTGCCGCCTGCTGTCACTGGAACCCAGGAATGGGGATCTCAGTGACCTCTGGGCACCTGTGCCCTGCAGCCACGCTGGCCTGGAGTGCACGGCATTGGTGCCCAGAGCCACTTCTGTAGCACACCATCTTTCATTGTACGCGCTTTTCCCTGGCATATTTTGCAGCTGCAAACACTATGAGATTAGTAATGCTCTGTAACGTTTGTTAAATGCATCTGGTTTGGTTTTTTCTGGTGCATTTGCTGCTTTACTTCATACAAAGGTATTTGTTCAAGAAGGACTTTGGTCCATTTTATAGAATGTCTGTCAAACAATTGTAACAGAAGAAACTCTTACCGTATGTGAAGGATACTAAGTAATAGGGAACAATTCTCCCTCCAACAAAAAGATGGGAGTGCAGCCAGCTGGAGCACTTGGAATCAGATGGCAGCCCAGATTCTCCTCTGCCCATTTCACTTGCTAAAGGTAAAAGGGGGTACTTGGATGGATGATTTAGCACCTAATGAGCTGGTTTCCTTTGAGAAGTGAACACACAATAGACCTTTGAACAGCAAACTAATAGTTTGTGTCATTAAAACTGATGTCATTATTAGCCAATTATTGCGTGGTTGGTTTTGGCAAAGAACCTTTGGGTGTTTGTTCTGGATGAATAACTGCAGACATTTGGAAGGCTCTTGGCCCAGTAAAAGCTCGTGGCAAAAGTTGTGTTTTGCAACAACCTGCTCGAGATCAGCTCTGTAATTTGTACTTGTCCTCATGAGGAGGGCAGGTTCTAACTGGTGCTCCAGTACACAGTGCTACTGACACAGACTTCCTTTTTTCCATTTCTGTACATGTTAAACTTGAAATGGTCCATTTTTCTGTATTTCCTGAGTTGCATTAATCTATTCCTAGCAGAGCAAACTCAGATGGATTGGAAAGTGAGAGGAGCCTGTGCACCCTGCTCTGCTTTTCATCCCCCAGAACCAGGTGGGACCTGGCCTGTTGGCCAGTAACAAGAGTTACTGGAATGAGTGGGCAGCCCAGTTCTCCCTCGTGTTAGAAGGTAGAGAAAGCACCTGACAGCTTAGTCAGTGTTAGATCATTCAGGGCCCGCACCCCAAGCAGAAACTGCCTATCTGCTTCTTTAAAGATACAGCACTTTCAGAAGCTTTTTGCTAGTGGTGTGAAAAGATCCAGTGAATGTCCCAGTGACATTCCAGCAGCAGCTCTGGGGTGCTCTGGCCCTGCGCTGGTGAGCACCAAATGTGATTCACGCGGTGGAGCTTTAACTGGGGCAGGGTTGTGGCGCGTCCCAGGCTCTGTGCAGGTGTGACTGAGGCAGCAGAGCCAGAGGCTCGTGGTTTTCAGGGGCCCACTGAGATCTTTAACTCTCTTTGCAGAGTGGAGACAGCGGCAGAGGGGGTGGGGAACAGCAAGCCCAGACACTATTTATTAAATAAGGGCCCAGGAGTCTCAAGCTGGAGCAGGGCAGCCCTCTGCAGATGTGGTAAGCTCCTGTTTCTTCCTGAGCTCCCTTTGGGAGCAGCTTAGGTGGGCAGCAAAGGGTCCTGATGGGTTTGGGTACGTGAGGGCTCTGATTGACTGTGCTGTGTCACAGCTCTGAAGGATTTGGTATGAAAATAAACAGAGTAGTGAGGTGAGCCCAGATCCTCTGGAGTCCAGACAAAAGTGTTGATAAAACCCAGCCCTCACTGGACTTGTGAAGGCTGGGGAGTTTTCATCTGGAAGTTATGAGACAGCAGATGGGGTGCAGGTGTATGATGATAAAATACAGAGTATAGGGAACGTTGTTCAGTGCTGTGTCCCCAGGCCTTTGAACTATTTTTAAACAGAAATTAAGCAACTACTTAGCCAGTTATTTACAGTGAAACTGAATAGCATTGTGGGATTCTGGATTTATATAAAATTATTATATCTTTATTTGCTGATATTATACTTGTGCAAGTGCAGGATATATAAGATTGTCAAGAACTAAAACATCCTCAACCTTTTTGTTTAGCCAGTATTTGAGAAGTTGCTTTGCCAACATTTGCCAAGTGACTGTGTAAGAGTTATTTGGACAATAAACACAGACAGTACATGACTTAAAATCTCAGGCTGAGTAATGCTGAATGATAGGTAAGGTCGTTTGTTTTTCTCTTTAAATGAGATTTTTAACAAAGGCAGTTTTTATGTTCTATAGTAGAAGATGATTATTAAAAGAGATACTGTATATCTTTAATTTCCTGAGCATCAACATTGCTATCTTACCTTCCCAGCAGGCTCATCTCTCATTTCAGGATATGAAAGTGTAAGCAGCGAGGCTGTTGCAAAGCTGATGAAATTACCCAGCAGAAGATAAAGCCGCTCCTCAGGTGGTTGGGCTGTGTCACTGTCAGACGGCAGATGATGATTGTTGATGATTATCAGCTCCTCCGTGCTGGGGTTTGTTCAGCCCGGTGCACACGCTCCCCCTGCTGCCGGCAGGGCTGGCAGCCCTTCCCTCCTTGGGGCTGGGGCCACACGAAGGGACAGTGACACACCTGGGGGGTGAGAGCTCGGTTTAAGCCAATCACGGACGGTCGGGGAATGCTGCCTTGGTTTGTTTTCCCTGATTGTTAATGGCATAATAACTTCTGTGCGTGTATGTGCATCCTGCATGTGCAGAAGGTCATAAAAGGCAGGAAAAGGGGATTGAGGGCCCCGCTCACTGGAGGTCCAGGAGGAATCAGACCAGCTTCCTTCAGGGAAGGCAAGGTTTGACGGAGCAAGTCCATTCCTTATAGAGAAGCCTTCTGCTGACAAGATGTAATTTATTTTGTGTCAGCTGTAGGACGTGGGGGCAGAGCAATGGACCTTTGGGTGAACCAGGACACTGTTTGTGTGTTAGGCATTGGGTGAACCCTGAGCTTTGCAGCTGGACGCTGTCTGTCCTGCCTGCAGGGCCTGGAAGCTGAGCTGTTCAGAGAGCACCAAGCCCAGGTGCTGTTCTCTCCCCTCCATCCAGGGCTGCCATCACTGCCTGCGGGAGCAATGCCAGCACCTTGCCCTGGGCCCTGCTGCAGCTTTGGCGCTGCTGTTCCTGCTGGCAGGGCCGGGGAGGAGCGGGTGGGCACGGCCTGAAGAGCTGCAGTGGGATAAAGATCACAGGGCAGCAAGGATGATGGGGCACTGGAGCATCTCTCATGAGGAAAGGCTGAGGGAGCTGGGCCTACTCAGTGACCCAAAGAGATGACCGAGAGGGGAGCTCCTTACTGTGTATGAATATCCAGAGGGGGTGTCTGGAATGTGGAGCCGGGTGGTGCCCAGCAACGGGACGAGAGGCAGCGACCAGGGAGTGCCATCTGAACGCGCTTCCCTCCTCCGCAGTGCCTGAGCAGAGGCCCGGCCTGCCCGGGGAGGCTGTGGGGGCTCTCAGGGCGATCTTCCCGGGCCGGCTGATGCGCCCCTGCCGGTGCCCCGGGAGCACCCGCAGCAGGGGATGATGGCTGTGCGGGACCTGCCCCGCTGCGTGCTCTTATCCCGGCCCATCCCTCTGGGCGCTGCCGCTGCCGGAGAGGAACCGAGAGCAGTAAAAGTGCGGCCGGCAGAAGCGGGAGGAACGAAAAAAGCGAAGCCCCTCCGGGCCGCAGCGAGCAGGGTTCGAACCTGCGCGGGGAGACCCCATTGGATTTCAAGTCCAACGCCTTAACCACTCGGCCATCGCTGCTGATACTGCTGTGCCTCTAGGGCTGCAGCCTTATAGGGCGTTCCGCAAGCCACAGGCCCCGCCCACAGCCCGCGCAGCCAATGGGTGCCGCCGGCCCCGCCCCCGCCCCGGCCCCGCAGCAATGGCGGCCGCGGCTGGGCAGGAGCAGCACAGGAGGAGCAAATCCCAGTGAACACCGGAGAGTCCCGGCGTGAGGGACCCGGGCCGCGCCCGCCCCTGCGAATGGAACCCGGGCCTGGCAGGGAGGAGGCAGCCACGAACTCCTACACAGACAGCAGCCATTAGGTGCTGCATTAGATTTCTTTCGGTTATTGCAAAATCTCTATTACAAAATCTCGAAAGGTATCTATCATACGACCTTTATATGTAATTTAACTCACTGTAGATAATTTTTTATGCGAGCAACAGTTTATTATGCCAGC